CACATGGAAAGGATGCAATGGGCAGCACCCTGCATGGTCCCAGGTCCGAGGCTGCAGGCATGTTAATCTGCGCTGGAACTGGTGCGGGTTCGAATCCTGCTCTTGGTGCCTGGGGCCCTCCTTTCTTCTAGGGTCATACCTTGGCTGGAATGCTGATTTCTGCTCAGGTTTTTTACTTACCCGGTGGAAGTCTAAGTTGTCTGAGGACCTTTTGACGGGGTACTAGACCAGGTTCACATCACACATGCACACTCACACACTCACACACACACACACACACATTGACACATACACACACTCAAACATATAGTCACACATTCACAGAACCTAGCCCTGCTTCCCTCCAACTATCCTGGGCCAGGGTCTCCGGTATCCATCCCTCTCTGGAGATGCTACCTGTGACCTGCCCCCCACCCCTACCTGTATCCTTTTCAGCCTGTTGTCTGGTCCCTAAGGGGTGGGAGTGTCTCTCTACCTGCCAGGCTGAGCGCCCTACACTGTGCCAAGGCCTCGCTGAGACAGACCATGGGCTGGGGCTTCGTGGTGGCCGCTAATCTCATTGTCGCCAGTGGTGTGCATCTGCCCAGACTCTATTAGTCTATAAGGCTCTCCGGGTCACAGACCCACCCCCACCCCCAGCCCATGACCCCACCCAGCAGGGATGACCCCTTTCTCCTCTTCCACAGCACCCCCCGCCCAAGGGTCCTTTACTGTCCACTTCCTGTCCCTCGGTTCTGCCCAGACCCTCCACCACAAGAGCTGCTACAAGGGACGATTCCAGATGCTCTACGTGGCCTGTGGGTAAGGGGACCGCTCACAGCATCCCGACTTCCTCAAGGATCCAGGGCTAGAGCCCTAGAACCTGCTCCCTCAGACCAGGAGTCTTGACCCCCAGCCTCTCCTCCCTCAGTCGGGGGACCACCGCTCAGCCACCCCCACTCCGTGTCCCCGCAGGATGGCCCACCTCCTGAGCCCTGAGCTCGCGGCCTGCGTGGCCCCCGAAGGGCGCCTGACTGTGGAGTCAGCTCGGTGAGCATACGAAG